GATTCAAGTTGGAACATTTGCGAGGTTACACAAATCTAAACAGCGTCGCAATATAATTATATGATGGATTTTTATGGATGGTAAGGGAAATTGATAACAATAGTGAGAAGCGCTTGACCGTAAAAACGGCAATTAGCCGAAATGTGAGCGTCAATAGAATAAAGTGAGAATAGCCGACGAAATTTCAGAATGCACAAGAATTAGCGGGCTTGAAAGGTCGATTGTAAATTTAATGATAGGTTTTTGCATTTTTTCTATACATATTCTTTCGAAGTTATACTCAGGATCACATATGGTATTAGGAGATTTTACAGACAATTACGATATGTAATTATTTCTGTGCCGCGAAATTCTTCTAGTACCGTTATTTTGTTGAAATAAAATATGTCATTTTGATTGGATAATTCCAATACTGCATAGAAAGCGTTTTGTATGAGTAAATAAAAACTCAATATGAACTAAACTATTTCCAACTAAATTAACCATTACAATGCTGCACTCTTATCGATAATAAAATACGATACAAATTCCTATTATCCTACAATAGAGAAAGACTTTTAAATTAATTGAATTTCAGTCTACGTGGGGAGCCGTATACAGTGAAATACAAACGATTTTTCATTCTTTCATCATAATCAGAGTCAATTATACAATAACACGAGCGTAAACACGATTTCTAGTGTAAATCTCAATCTACGCCTGCACAAGCAATTTGTTTACAAACTAGCTTACATAGAAGAATAAGAAAATGAATAATTGAAACTTTAAAGACAATTAAAGAAGTTACTGACCATTAAATTTCATGTTAATCCCTAATAAGTAACTACTTGGCACGCGCTTTATCTAAGACATCTCTGCTGCTTAATCTTATTATACGCATTCTCGAACTTGACCTCGCGGTCACAGTCGAGTGCCTTGATAAACAGCCATTATCGCTGAAAGATAAAATGTTATTCCAATTGCGGGTTGAAGCAAGAAAGATGATACACAAAAGGCCTATGATTTCCACTCATCGTCGAAGTAAGACTGAATTTATCCACGCGTGCATCGATTGTAAGTACTGCGCGTCGAGAGAAGAAAAACAAAAAAATGAAAAGCACTCCGCGAATCGACTTGACTCTCTCACTCGAAGCTACAATGCGAGAATATATATAAGAAAAGATGCTCCCCGTCGGTGGAGCCTTGGAGAGCCGCACGCGGGGATCGAAGACAAAAAGTCCGCAAGGGGTGTTTCTCCAGATGCTACTTGAAAACTATCCTCTCGAAGTTGTCACACAAATCGATACATACACACACACTCCAAGAACTCAGGGACAAGGAGAGAGAGAGAGAAAGAGAGAAAAAAACACACAGTATCAAGTGCAAAGAGGGGAAAAGCCATATGGCTTTTGACTCTCTTTCTCTCAATCTTCCGACTGAACTTGTATACAAACGAGCGTCAATTTTCGTTTACCATAAATTTTGTGGTTCCTTGGCTTTTCCTTTTTACGACATAAATCCACGCCACGGGTGAGATTTACTCTCGAAATCCATTATACAGCTATGTACGAATTATAATTAAATTCCAGGCTACGGCTGATTATTAAAAAAGGAAGAACAGCAACAAAAAAAGTTCGATACTCCGAGATTTACATTGTAACTGCGTAATAATACTTTTACTATCGATAAATTTTTTGCCCGACGATTAGACGCCACGCAGCAGCACCGGCAGCAAGTACATTAATAGTCTTGAAGAGAGAGAGCCGCAAAGGCGCCAAGTTTTATGAATATTATTATATATTTTCCGCAACCAGCAGATGTCTTTTCCGATAAAACGTCTTTACGGCATGGACATAATTAATGATGTCTTCTGTTTTATACATACACAAAATATTCGATAAGTTTTCACGACGACGACGACGACGAGGGAGTCTCTTTATCGTTCATCAAAGATTAGCGACGCAGAAATTGTCTCTCTCGCGAGCTGATCGTCGTCATTTTTTTTCGTTCTTTCATCTCCACAAGAAGGAGAGATGCAAAAAAATGAGTTGAATTATACAAGTACAAGAGACACCCGCGGAAATATAATATTGGATAGGTGGGTAACAATAACTTTTGGCATTCGCAGCGCGCATGAGAGTGAGGAATTGCTGCATACTTTGCGCCACTGCTACTGCTGCTACGTGCCTATGTGCCACTATAAGACTACTATACCAAACACGCGCGTGAATTATATGCTCAGGAATGACTAGGTACAATTTTCGGAAAGTATAGCAAGGAGGAGAGAAGCTTTAACATCGCGCGAGTCGCGCGCGTATACACACACATACGACGCGCATTGAAAGCAGCAGCAAAATTTGCAAAAGAGCAGCGGCAGAGAGAAGTGCTGAAAGCAGCTCTTCGTATCATTAATATTACTTACTGCCGGGGAGCGAGCGAGTAGAGCTAGAGCGAGTTCGCGCGTGTCAGGACAATTTTGCGCAGCGTCTCACGCCGGCGCGGGCGGCAGCTCTGACACACAAATGCGCCGCGCGCTTTCGCCACCACCACCGCATATATGGATACAATGAAGCTGCTGCTGCTGCTGCTGCTGCTGCGTATGTTTAGAAAATAAAAATAAAAAAAGAAGGAGTGGAAAACGTAAGATTGTATACGATGTATGCATTTGCAATTTCATAGTTTTTGAGACGAGATTTAATTAGGCCGCAGCAGCAAAGTTAATTCAGCGATACGTCATAAATAACAGCTCGAGTCGGCGCAATTAGGCTCGGATGCGGCTGTCAAGCACGGATCCGCCGACGACGACGACCCTCGTCGGCGGCAACGAGTGGCTGCGTGTATAATCTGGCCTACGCGCGGCGGCGGTCTCTCTCTCTCTCTCCCGTCCCTGCGAAACAGATACCTACCTACCTAGCCGGGGATGGCTTCCGATGGATTAGCATAAACAAATCATCGGGATTAAAGGCGAGAGAGAGAGAGAGAGAGAGAGACAGAGGAGTTGTACGTGTAGCGCGCGTGACTTCCGTGATCAAATGTGACGCACGATTAATAATCCTTAAATTCGTTAAATTAATCAAAGTTTCGCGCGAGAGTCTGTTGTTCAGCCACCTGTATGTGTGTGTATGTGTGTGTGTGTGTGTGGGTATCTGCTATAGAAACGAAATGTGAATAAGCCTTTCGGTTACGCTTGTCCGGATACACTCGGCTCGCAATCAGTTTTTGCCTGTGTTTTTCAAATCCGGCAAGAGAGAAGGGATGGGGCCGAGGCGGGTGGGTAGCGAGCTTGCTCAATCGGAAATATTTGCCGATTTAACCGGTGTAAAGAAAATATTTACGCGAATAGACAGACACGGTAGAGAGAGCAGCCGCAAGTTTACGGATAGCGCGCGAGATTGGGACTAATTCTAAGCCCGCGTGCAAGTCAAGCAGCGTCAAGCAAGCAAGCATAGGCGCAGGGTCGAGGGAATGACAACCAACACGATGCTGTTGCTGCTGCTGGGCGCTTTGCATGCCAGAAGCTCTTGTGCTGCTGCTGTTACTCGTACACGCCAATAAATCAGTATTAAGCGCGCCTCGTCCAGCAGCAGCAGCAAGCGTATGTATACGCAGCGAACGTGTCACGCAGCACGCGCTTTTCTGCGTTAAGTTTCCACGGCAGCCCAAATGCCCGTATGATTTGTACAGAGAGCCGGATCTGATGACCTATGCTGCACACGGACAGCGTGCGGTCGACTTGTCCCGGATGGTTTAAAATCGAGACCGATCATCGTCGCGACGCGAAGCTTTCCGTCGTGTCCCGATTGATCTTTGCTTTACCCGTTTGTATACTCTGGTTCATTTTCACAAAATATCGATCGATAGGAAATTTTATTTCAATTTATTGGAACAAAGCGTAATAAAAGCTCACGCAAAGCTTCCTGGTATTTGTCATCACTATATTAGGCAGTCGACTGTCAACAGTGTAAGATTCGACTTGCGCGTGAACACGTTCATCAACAGCCCGGCACAAACACACATACATATACTCGACGACAACTCATTAAAATTTCCGACGCGCTATAGAAGCCCGCGTGTAAATTAATTCCCGCCCAGTCGTCCCGTCTCTCTCTCTCTCTTTCTCTCTGTCCGTTTCGCCTCGATGGCAATGGAAAAATATCGCAACTTTTCAAATGCAGATATTTCTGTGCACAGAGAGAGCGAGAGAATGAGAGAGAGCTTGAAAACACCCTGAATAGCTTCGCGAGCTACGAACACAGTAGCAGCATCCGTTATTTCCGATCGAACGCTCTATATTTGCGCTCGTCATGACGTAGCGGCAGTCAGCCAGCCACCACCGAGTGTGAGAGTATGCGCGGGAGCGAGAGAAAGAGAAAGGCCAACTGGACAAACGTGTATTGTGATTTCGAGCCTTTGAGCAGCGCGTAAAGGGGCTGCTGCTGCTTGACCGCCTGAATATTCATGTTGTAGCATACACACACACGTACGCGCGGATTGAGGGACGATCGAGAATCGGACTTGTTGCGACTGACACTGATGTAAACCTTTGTTTAGCCGAAGCAGCGGCGCAAGCTTACCCCTTCTTGTGTGCTTGTGTGCTTGCACGTGTGTGTGTGTGTGTGTGTGTGTGTGTGTATAGTCACCCAGCCTCGTGTGGGTTTTGACTCGACACCCACACGCCTGCCCTGCTCTGTCATAGCACCTTTTTACCACCGATCGGCCACTGTGCGCGTCCGAATCGAGAGGGTGTGGGGGTGGTGTGGGGGGGGAAAAGGAGCCCAGTCAGTCGCGCGCGCAACAACACAACACGACATGAATGTATATTGCACGTTCAAGCTGTGTAGCTCGCTCTGTAGCTTAGATGTGATTTTAAATTGATTTTCTCGCCTCGAGCTTTTTCTTTGACGCTCTACAGACGTCCGAGAGAGAGAGAGAGAGAGAGAGAGAGAGAGTGATTTCACAGCTCGCACGTCGTCCCGTATATAATGTTTGTATGTAATTTATGCGAGATGAAGATCCCTTACCTTTCCAGTTGTTTCACGATGTCTTCGTAAGCCGCTCGACAGTTGTCCCAAACGGCACCGGATCTGCAAAAAAAAAAAAAAAAAAACAAACGTAATCAGTCTTCGGTAAACGAAAAAAAGTATAATCATCCTTGCTCAAAAGAGACATTCGGTAATTAGGTACTAGCACTTGTCCGCTTGATTAGTATGGACTGGTATGATAAACAGAGACACACAAACACACACACACACACACACAACTGGAGCAGACTTCTCTCTCTGACATCTCCAGTGTACGAATTCACGAATGAAAAAAAGGATGAGAAGAAGAAGAAGAAATTGAAAAACTCATCTGCAAAGCAAGTAGCAGAGGAGATGGCCCGTGTGCTTCGACTCGTTTGAGACTCTTTCAGTCAGTTAAATGAATATCTTTACTTTCCACGTTAGCTATCGTGCTTTGATTTGATTGACTTTGAAGTCACTGATTAAAAAAAAACCGTCTTAAGTTGGGCGAAAAATACGAGGATAAAACAGCGAACTGTCCTTTCATTCCTCGCGCTCGAACTAATGAAAAAAACTCAATCACGATGCTGGGGTTGATGCTAGCGACTCGACGGTTTGTGCCGTCAAATTAAACCACAGCCGATTCATTGAAAGAAGCTTTTATCTGAAAAATTTCGTAGTTCGCATTTAATGTAACGTTATTATGATTTTTGGATCTGATTTTTACTTTGTCTCGTACATCTTTCGTAAGTATTAAAAATTGTAACTAATTAGCATATGTTTTTATTCCTATAACTCTAATTTATACATACGTTGATATACACATTTATTAGGGTTTTAATGCGATTTTTTGCAATGTATCCGGTAAAATATTCTGGAATACTTGAGTCAAAAGATTGAAAATTGATTCTCAACATAAGATAATTTTACATAATATTATGTATAGTAAACTACCTCGGAGTACAATATTATCGTGGCAAAATAGTTTTATCATGAAAAACAGAACGCTTCTAATTTTTAAATGGTTAATTACATTATAAAATTTGTTACATATTTTCGTAACGCCAGTCGATGATTAGAAATAAGAAATTCTTTTAGACTTTTCTAACGAACGTCACGAATTTCTTTGCGCACATGCGAATAGTGAGTATTTCGTGGGATCCGCAGGTTTCAATTTTTGGTGTGTACTGTCTTTTGATGAAAGATCAAATGCCATTTTTGTTCAAATTTCTCTTCGCATTCATCGCATGCGACTTTCATGAACTGTCTTTTGATGGTAGAGTAAATTCGACTTTTTTCCGAATTTCTTTTCGCACTTGTCGCATGCGAAATCTCTGCGACCTTCATGCACTGTCCAACCTCCTTACGGTGCGTAACGCATTTCTCTATCTATAAAAAAAAAAAAAAAAAAAAAAAAAAAAAAAAAAAAAAAAAAAAAAAAAAAAAAAAAAAAAAAAAAAAAAAAAAAAAAAAAAAAAAAAAAAAAAAAAAAAAAAAAAAAAAAAAAAAAAAAAAAAAAAAAAAAAAAAAAAAAAAAAAAAAAAAAAAAAAAAAAAAAAAAAAAAAAAAAAAAAAAAAAAAAAAAAAAAAAAAAAAAAAAAAAAAAAAAAAAAAAAAAAAAAAAAAAAAAAAAAAAAAAAAAAAAAAAAAAAAAAAAAAAAAAAAAAAAAAAAAAAAAAAAAAAAAAAAAAAAAAAAAAAAAAAAATGATCGAGCAAATGTGATTTGAATCCAAACTTCTTCTCGCATTTGTTGCACGCGAAATCTCTGTGCCCCTCGTGGACCATTTTTTGGTGCCTGATCAGGTGTGATTTATATGCAAATGTCCTTTTGCACACGTCGCAGACATAATCTTTTCCACCATCGTGTACTACCCTTCGGTGCCTGACCAAATCCTCTTGTATTCCAAATTTCTCGTCGCATTTGTCACATGCAGAAATTTAGAGACCCTCATGGACTGTTTTTTTGTGTTTGGTCAGGGTGTCTCGATCAACGAATGTCTTCTCGCACTTGTCGCATGCGATATCTTTACGACCTTCGTGGACTGTTTTTTGGTGGACGAGCAAATTCCATTTCAGTCCAAATTTCTTCTCGCATATGTAGCACGAGAAGTCTTTACGTCCTTCGTCAAATATTTTTTGGTGGCAAACCAAATGATGTTTATGTTCGAATTTTTTGCCGCATTTGTCACATGGAAAATCTTTTCGACCCTCGTGGACTGTTTTTTGGTGAGTGAACAAACTCGGTTTTGTTGATAATTTCATCTCGCACTCATCACATGCATAATGTTTGTGACCTTCATGGATTGTCTTTTGGTGGACGATCAAATTTCTGCGAAACCCAAATTTCTTCTCATAAACATCACATGCGAAATCTTTAAAATCTTTGTGAAATATATTTTGGGGTCTAAACAAATTCAATTTTTCTTTGTGTTTTCGCTCGCGTTTTACGCTTGGGTAATTTTTGCGACGTTCGTGTTCTATTTTTTTCTGAAAGAGTAATTGTGATTTTTTTCTAAATTTCTCCCTGACCTTGTCACATGCAAAATTTGTGCGATCGTCGTATACTGTTTTTATGTGCACGAGCAACCTATGTTTATTTCCAAATCTTTCCGCGCACTTTTCACATGAAATCTGCGCGTACACGCCAATAAAAATCTCGTGAAATATTTTTTTGTGCTTAAGTAAATTTGATTTATTTTCAAATGTTCTCTCGCATTTGTTACACGCGAAATCCTTGCAGCCTTTGTGTATTGCTTTTTGGTGACGGTCTAAATTGCTTTGTTTTTTGAATTTCTGCTCACAATTGTCACATGCATAATTTTTGAGACCTTCATCGTCATTATTATCTTTCTGTATATTCTGAGTTGTGTTACTGTGCTTAATTATGCTCGATTTTTTCGAGAATATCTTCTGAAAAATTACACAGAGCTATTTTTCGTTGACTGAACAACAGTCTCCTATTTGCTTAATTTATTTGCGCTAACTACTGTGGATGCTTTTTTACATTCATATATTTCAATGCCACGAATATATTATGGTGAATATCATTCACGCAAGCAGCACTCGTACTAATTTAATTAACAATTAAACTTTGCAGTGAATATGAAGCGATTTAAAAAATGGCTTGTAAATATTGTTTACAGATTTATCTATTTATACATATTGTTTAGGCAACTTTTAATGACTCTCTATTATTTATAAACAAAATTTTGTACTAATATTCGGTGTTTTGTTTTGAATATTTATTACCATGACTTCTCTTATTTAAATTTAAAATTTTGTCTTTCACACTTTTTATACAAACATTCATATAAAATTTAGAAAAGGAAAAGTAAATTATTTTCAAAAAATCAAAAAAAAAAACATGAATACCAAAGATTTTTTTGAATCCATGTTTTAAGCCACACACGAGCATCAGTGCCACAGAGCATCTTACAGTAGGAAGCAAAAATTAAAATATATACAATTAAAGGAATCAGAAACATATAATCCAACTCATTTTTGACTTTAGATGTCTCAATCAATATGTACGCGTCATAATTTAATATTCACGGACGGCATTCGTGAGACCTCGATCATCGTAACCGTAAGTATCAATCAATTTCGGATAATTGGTGTTCATTTATGTCAATCTACTAAACCGCGCGCATCTCTCGCACGATTCACGCCTATTATACACAGCTGCGAGAGAAGATCACGGCTACTCCTTCGTCACCGCACAGCTCGTCAAATCCGTCTTATCTATCTCTAGCCATGCGCTCTCGTTTTTTCTTGCGGTCAGACGCGCGCTCGCGCGGATTTGCATATTAATTAAAAGCAAAGCGAAACTCTCGAATGATAATGCACCGCGACGAAGCGCATTACACGGAGCTTTCCTCTGGCGCGCGTCATTACGCATCTTTGTCATTCGACTCTGTGTGTTCTTCTTCGCGTTATTTCCATTTTAGAGGCAGAGCAGCACACTTTTGCTGCGAGGTGACAGCTTTGACTCGAGATGATGTCCGCGCGTATAGAGTACACACGACAAATTTTATAAACAATCTTGGAGCAAAAGAAAGCGAGGAAAAGTAAAGAATATCCTAGAGCAGCTCGTTTGGAACGTCTTCTTTGAAGAAAAAAATGATGCAAATCCTGCAAATCCGAGAGGACGTGCTCGAATAATCTTAGGTATTTGTTAACGACCTCCTACGAGTCGATCTCCGCTGAGCTCCCCCTCAAAGTCGCAAAATTAGTCCGTTCCGCCTTGTATACAGCTATATACAATATCATTTCTATACCGTGAACTTGGGTTTTATAGTCAATATAGGCTCGGGAGACAGTAAAAAATCTGACACGTGCTTCGGGTATGAGAGCATTCGTATACGCGAATATACGATCGAAAAGAGTTACATTTAAAGACTCGTAAATGTAAACTGTCATTTGTTCAGGTGTCAAAAATTTGCAGAGGGGGACTCTTGGCATCGAAGAAGAAGAAAGAAGAGAGAAAGAAAGAAAGAAGAAAAAAATGAACAAAGCGCGGTAACCTAAGCCGGTAAATGGCGTCAAATGCTTTTGCCACCGACGACTACGACGACGACGACGATGAGCTCTCGACGACGACGACGAAGACGAAGACGAAGACGAACGTCGGCAAAAGAAACGAAACGGACTCGTACATGTGCAGATGACTTGGCCGACCCCTTCGAATTTCCACGGCTTCTTTTTGTTCGGAATCCTCTTAAAGTCGTACACGTTGGCTGCTGCTGCAGCAGCGAGTTTTAGCAGTGCAGAGAAGAAAGCACCGATGCATCGGTGACGTTAAAACAAACAAAGCTACTACTAACAAATCCAATTTCTTTACCGCTCGCCTACGCGTCTTCAGTTTTCTTCTTCTTCTTTTTTTTTGCTCTCTGTCTCCATTTATTCAACAGCGAACATAATATTGTGTGCATACTTGCGCGCTGCGCTTAGAGTCCAGTAGCCGCACTGTGTCAGTTTGTCTGTGTCTGTCTATGTGTGTGTACAGCTCCAATTTGTTACACTGCTGACTTGTCGCGGCTTCGTCTTAGACTACTTCTTTAGCCAATGATATGTTCACTTGGTTGGATACCTACCTACCTGCCTCTCTCTCTCTTGTAATATAGTCATATGTATGCATCGCGGGCTGCAGGTGTGGCCACCGCCGCCGCCGCGGGGCCGTCTGTGTTAATGCAAAATGTCGACGCGTCGCTTTATACGTAATGCAGACAGGTGCATTGCACGTAACATAACCGAATACCTCGTGTGCTACGAGAGCTTTTGAACTTGTGTATACTTATACACTGGGAGAGTCGAGCGTAATCTCAATCGATTATAAATTCATTTTCAGTTAAGCAGATACTTTTTTATGCGATTATTATTTCATTCGAATATATGAACCGAAAACTTCTTTATATTTGACGCATGAAGTGTATTATAGTATATTTATATCCTACGAAAAAATTTTTACCGCTTGCGAATTTACAATACTCTATCTATTGATGAAATCAAAAAGCTCATGAACGAATATAAAACCTTCGATTACGATAAATCTCATTACGATACCAAACATTTTCCTATAATATTCAATTATATAAATTAAATAGAGAGAATTTAAATTAAAAATCAATAAATAACTGTCAAGTCCATAAGCCTTATAAGTACTTCAAAAGTACTCCAAGTAGGTGCGTAAAAATGTTTATAAATAATCGACGAGTACCGACCTTGCGAGTGCTTCCATATTGGGCATATTTTGGTTGACCTTGAGGCCCTGCTCGGTGGCGCGCGCCTGCGCCTGGACCTGTAGGTGGTGCGGCAGGTTGGCCGGCGACAGCAGTGCCGTGTGACCGGCGCCTGGGTGGCCGCTCAGCTGCATGAACGGTATGTGGCTCAGATGCGTCGGCGGATGATTGTAGCCGTTTGCCAGCAGCGGCGATTTCTCCATCCGCGGTACTTCACCTATAAACACACGGATGTCATATATATATATATATATATATTTATATGTGTATATACCGAGTAAATATATGTATATGAAGAAAAAGCAGAGAGAGAGAAGCGACTATTATTATATGCCTTCTTCTGTATACCCATTGCTGCGCATACGTATTTTTTATAATGCGATCCTTACATTCGAACGCGGACACACACATACACAAGCGCGTTAATGCCACGATCGTATAAGATGCATTGCTGTTTATATGCACCGAGAGAGACAGGGTGTATAGTTATTCGCGTGTCTTCGTATGGATAGCGACTATTTTTCCTCGCGAGTATGAGTGAAAAATGGGGAAAAAAATAAATGGAGACGTTTTAGCAAAATACAGAAAATTATTCGAGATCTTACAATGTTTTTTGACATTAGAACTGGACACATACCAACTAAAATTGTTTTTGCCATTCAATGATTATTTTTGATTGATTTAAAATAAAAATTACCGTTGCACGCTTTTAATTGTTAATTGTTAATTTTCTACAATTTGAATGTAAAACGTCAATGAAATTAAATTGGTTAAATAAGATTTTAATAACATTATCGTTACTACTAATGCTAGGAAAGTGCATCAACGATTTGGAAACCGTGTTCTAATATAGAAGCCATGTTCTAATTTATCCAATTGTTTTGTCTTTACCACTTGCAGATTTATCCATAAAGGTACTCGCCATCTAGTGGTCGAGACTGGCATTAAATGACTAATGTTGAATGGTAATTCTGTGGTTTAAAGGTCATAAACGTTTTTTCAATTGTAAAATTTAAGATCGTCGTAGATCCAAATATGAAAATCCGTTGAAAAACAATTGGACAAATAAGTTTATTGCTGAACAACAATTTTGTTTGGCCGCGAGAATAGCCCGTTCACGCACTCGTAAACGTAATTTGACTCTTCATAGACAACGCTTCATAAGGCACAGTGAGAGATAGATAGATACGGAGCGCGTGCGAAAGAGAGTAGTATATAATACTGGAATATACATAAGCTGTATAATATATCTGCAGCGAAATAATAATGTATGCACGATCACGTCTCTCGACGTTCAGGCTGATCGATGCGCGCGCCCGAGAGTTCGTGATTTCTCAAGTCCTCGCGCGGCAGCAGCAGCAGCAGCTTCCATCGCAGTTTACTTATAATTTCAGCGGGGCTTCACTCCGTTCTCTCTCTCTCTCGCCTGTCTATCTATTTACTTTAGTTAGAGACGCCGAGAAAGCAGCGGCTGCCGCTTCTTCTGCATATACCCGCGAGATGTTTATTGATTGTTATCGGCAACGAGTTCGAAATTCTATAAGCTGTATGCACGTGTGTATGTGTGTGTCTGTGTGTGAGTGTGTGCCCATCAGTCTCGTTATTATATTTTCCATTTCTTACTTTCCGTCTGTCTATATAATAAAATTAAAATGTGTTGCAGATGCAAAAGCCGAAATGAAAGTAGCTGAAAATTATACTATTTACGGCGGCGGCGCATTCTCCGACTCGAGACATATAAATCAAAAAATAAGCGCGCGCGCGGGCCTTATTAAACGATACATTCGATGCTGCTCGACTGTACTTTGAAATTTACCTGGAAACGTTTTTGCATGCAAAATTGTGAATCGGCATTCGATATCAAAAATATTCGCTAAAATAGACCCAAAATCCGAAAAAAGGCGCATCTGTGCAGGTCTCTCTCACTCTTTGTCTAGGACTAGGGCAGCAGCAGAAGCAGCACCAACGGACCGCAGGAGAAATTCGAAAATTACCTTATAATTAGCGGGGATGCACACACATACACACAAAACACCAGGCGCCGGCCGCGCGAGCGAGTCCGTCTTTTTCCTTCTCCGAAGATTCTAAGAGGACCTGACAGACGGCAACAACTTTACCATGATATATGGCGACAGAAAAGGCTAACTATTGTCATTTGGTCAGTGGGTTCAAAAGCCCGTGTGTATACGTCGTGTATCCCATTGTATCAACATCGAGAGAGAAGTTAAAGGCAGAGGGCTAAAGACAGAGGCAAACGGAATGGAAGTAAAAGAGACGCGTGGATGGGGCTATTCATTTCAAATTATCTAAATAGCTGTGATTTCGGGGCGCGCGCCAGTATTCGAAAGAGAGAGACTCGGCTCTTGACTCGAATAAGTGCTAGCTTTCAAAACTATTCTCTTTCTCTCTTTCTCTCTCTCTTTGTTTCTCATTCTCTTGCATACATCGTTGTTGCTGGTGTGAGTGTCTTTAAAGCTGTGCGCGCTGCTGCCTCCTGTGATCGCTTTTTCACTCTCTTTCATTCTCTGTTTATCCTTTTTCTTTTTCTTTTTTTCTTTTTTTACTCGACACAACGCGCGCAGTTCCCAACGAAATAATTGGACTTATTACAACTTATGAAGCGCGCGATTTGAACGCTCTTTCAATTCGGAATAACATATATTATCCCCAATCCATATGATTTAATGAAATTCCTCTAAACTCTCCACTTACGTGGCCGAGAGCTTCGACGAGAGTCTCCTCTCTTTGCTCACATCTTTTTCGTTGCTTTATTTCGCAACCGAGCGAGAGAGCTAGCGTGTGTATGTGTGTGTATGTGTATAAACATAAGTATCTCTGATGATGATCGCCGGGACACTGCATTTATATATCTTTTATTTTTCCTTTGGTCAACGTGTTCACTGTGTGTGTATGTGCATGTGTGTGTACGTACGTAGATACGTATGTATGCGCTTTCATACGTGGGTAATGTGATCGATTTACTTGCCTTACAAGTTTCGATAAACGTCTCGTCTCGGGGATAACTGCGCGAGGTCTTTTTCTTTAACCCTCGAAGCACGTATGCTGCACACAACGTGTTCCAACGCTTAAAACACAGAGAGAGAATTACGCCGACTCGTTCTCTCTCTCTCTCTCTCTCTCTCGCCAATTTCGATTCTGAACGCGGTAGTTTGATTACCCTGTGTGTGTGCGCGCGCGCAGTGTATCGGTCATTTTTCAGCCCCGGCTATTTTAACTCTCTCCGCGATCGCAGCGTATAGAGAAGAATTGTTTTATATACGTATACGAAAAATTCGAAAAAAGAGTTTTTCATCGTCGTGCGTGCTTGTATGCGTAAAATAAATAAAAAAAATCGTAATTATACCCGATGTATAACCGATGCATTTCATAAATTTGCATTATTCAAATTTGCGTTATGAGTTTGACCGAAGAAAAGATATAAATAATCAAGAAATGCGCGCACGAGCGTGGTGAAAAGTTAATCACGTTCCATATAACACATTGAAAAAAAAAAGGAGAACTTGCTCGTCAGCTCAAGGACACGTGTATAAAGCATCGCGCGTAATCACCTTTAGTTCAAACTAATCAGTCATGATGTACAAATATGCACTCCTATTGTCTAATGTATCATATACCAGCTATTAAATGTCTACGTAATTTACCGATGATTTCATTTTTTTTTCTTGTTCACCGTGGATGCAATACAACCCAAACTTCACCTTCTTCCTCCGTATGCAACTTTTAATTCTGATTTTGTGCAAGAAAGTAATCGAAACTCGATCATGTGTGTGTGTGTGTGTGTGTGTGTGTGTGTGTGTGTGTGTGTGTGTGTGTGTCTGTGTAATATGTACATTTAAGCGAGCGAGGGGCATGCACCGGTGCACATGCCCTGAGAGACGTGCTCGCGAATCTCTTGACGGCTGCAGGCAGGCCGTGAGGCAGACCGAGGCAAGGAGGCGCGACGATAAAACGAATTCGGTCTTTTTGATTGTTCTGCTCGCTCACGTGCATGTTTATAAATGCAATATATACATATATACGAACGCATTAGAGGTCGCTCATCAGAATATACTTTTCTCTTTTTCTGCATCTCTCTCTATCTCTCTCGTTTTCTTTCTCGTGTACGCTTGAGAGAAAAAAATCCAGGCCCTGATGAAGTGACAACCCGAAATTATAATGTAATGTTGCGCTTTCTTCATTTAAACTGATGGAATCACCGGCGTGTCTTGGGCCAAATGATCCAATATAAATTGTATTTAAGAATTTTAATGTGTGTCTTTATGCATTACTCGTGCTTATTTCTCATTTCTTTCCTGTTTTTTTTCTTTTCTGACGTGAACGTAGACGAAATGAATGAAACGTCATTTATTCACAAGGATAATTATAAACATTTTTTAAAGAGACATTCAATTGTTTCAGATGGGAGCCTGAATCAAAAATCTGTATCGCATCTATCGGTCAAAGCAAGCATATCAATAGTAATTTACAATGCAAGAGCAATGCACAAACGTGAGCTTGAAAAAAGTGAGACACTTTTTGTCCCGGCTAAACCCAGTAGCCTTGCATGGTAAATTACTACTGTTTTTAACAGCTGATATGAAATAATTTAGTGACTATGCTATTAATTGTAAAAAAGATATTGTATTCATATTACCTAAACCAAATCGATAAGCTAGTTGATTGAGATCCCTTTCTGAAACAAAATCAAAACATGTCCTTTTACTCTCTGTGAATGACGGCTTTATATTCTGTTTCATAATTCGAAAAGACTAAATTTCTTAAATAAAAATGTCGCACAGGTGTTTAAACATGAAGAAAAAAAGTATAGTTTATCGATCGGAATTGTCCGAGGCTTTTGGTACACCACTATACATTGGCATGCATTTCCAACTTGATTAAAAAAAAGCGTTGTATGTGTGGTACGGTGGGCAAAAGGCCTCTCTCTGACAGTAGAGCGAGCCCGAGCGCAACGAGACGTGGATAATAAATAAATTTGGCACAAAGTATCACCGAGCGTAAATAACACGTATATAAGCAAGGCGCTCCCCCTCCGTCGTCGTCGTCGTCGTTCGTTCCTATCGTTCTTGCTGCTGCTCTTTCTCTCTGTCTCACTCACTCTCTTTCTCTGCGGAACATTCGTCTCTTGAGCCGTTTGAGTAAGATAGAGGCGTGTGCAGCCCGAGAAGGGGTTGCTCGAGTGAATCCTTCGTCCGTCCGCACGACGACGACGACGGCGGCGGCAGTGCTGTGTATATTGTGTATGTACTTGCTGCTGCTGCGCACTATATACTACTTCTTTCTCTCGCTTGCTCGCGCACGCGTTAATTGCAGCAGACGCGAAAATAAATTGCCAGACTAAATGAGACGGGTTGCTGCTGTTTGTCTCGGGACTCGCGCTGGCTACATGCTTAACTCTAATTCGTGTATAATAATAACGATCGTTTATCCTCCGAGTATCGTATTTTGCTTTATAGTCCGCTGCTGCTGATGCTGCTGGTGCCTGCCGAGGAGGATAATTTTTATCTTTTGCATAATACTGATAATTTCCGAGGCCTTTAAAAAAGAAGCAGCAGCACAGTAGTAGCGAGGAAGATAATTGACTCGTAACTACAAAAGGATATAGTGTCAAAGCATGAGTTATACTCGTTACGACAAAAAAAAGAGAGAGAGAATGCACGAAGGGCTACTCGTATTGACCACTATTTTGGGTCGGAAAATTCGGGGTTTTGTTTCATGATATTCGTAGAATGTATGAACTGTAGTTGGATACAATGATATTTATTTGTTAAAAACACCTCAAACTTGCAGATTTCATTTGAAATGAAGAATTGAAATTTCAGTAACCAAAATACTTGATATATTAATATTGATTTGATTTTTGATATTAACTTTCAGTGAAGGTTTCATAATCTGTGCTTATTAAATTTTTTACATCAACTACACAAAAAATGCATGAAAATTCAATTATGAATATCATTTTTAATTCAAAAATTAACAAAACATGTTGAATACTTTACTCAAATTTGAATATTTTGTTTAAAAACATTTCAGCATTCAATTTAATAATTGAAATTGATAAAGTAAGTTTAAATTTAATGTTTTTATACCGGTTTATTTTTGAGTTGATTGTTCAAAAAAGCTTAAAAATTTAATCAATGTTAAAGACAACTTCTGTCACTAGATGGCGAATGTCATTACCTATAAATCTGCAAGTGGGAAAAGAAAAATGATTGTATCAGTCTATAAACACCGACATTTTCAAATCAGCTTTTACTAGCTCTGTTATAGATTTGTTCTCATGAATTTTTCGAAAAATCACATGATATATAAAATAAACAAATCATATTTTAGAATTGTATCTTTTGAAGAGGGTCGGATACTCCGGTTAATTTTTTTTAAATCTACTACCACTCTACTTTCAAACAATCGACATATATCCTGAACACAATTTATAAAGATTTTTAACGAGTCATGACGAAGCTCTACGTCTGTGTGATACGCGAAATAGGCGTTATAAAGGGCAAATGTGGATCTATAGTTTCGAACAAAGCCATTTCTGATCGATGCTTTGAACTCGAGCGCGCCGCATCCAGACGAATAAACGAAAAGTGGCGAACGCGTATAAATACGAAAATGCACCGAAAAAAATCCGGTTTTTCGAGTAATCATAGCGGCCGCCACCGCCGCCCCCACCTCTTCTGCTGCGGCTATTGCTACTTCATTGGTTTGCTACGCTTGGCCAGTCGAGGCGCCACCATCAGTATGATACAAACATTATCATGGCATGTGCATATATATCATGTGTGCACTTGGACTCACTCTCGGCCTCTCTCTCTCTCTTCTCTCTTTTCTTCTCTCCGTCGTCAGACGTATCCACCCATACGCAGACTGCACACGGGGCTGTTGCATTTTTATCTGTCTTTTGCGCATGCAGGCACGGACAACGTGCCGCGCGCGGCAGCACAGAGCTCAAGAGCACACAACGTTTCGGTCGTTACAACACGGCTACCACCATCGCGCGTTTTTGTTCGCACACACGCGTTTTTATAGCTCTTTGCTAATTTACTTGCAGCTTATAAAAATTCTGGAATCAGCTTACTTTTTTCGTGGAAATGCAATATTTTGGGAATTCGAGATGTGCGCGCGCGCATAAATGTCAAATTTATCACGGATCGTTGCTGCCGTTACCGTATCTTCTTTTCTTTTTCTCTTTCAGATTGCCATAATCATTCTTAAAAGATAAAGTTAACTGCGGAGAAGCAACAGCGGCTTTTGTTCTGCATCAGACGCACGCAGACACGCACGGGTCAAGTACATTATAAATTCATCGATTTTATCGTGGGCCTTTTGGGCTGCTTTACGCGCCATAATATTGCATATTTATCGTTGCGTAAATAATTATATCAATCGCGTATGCAGTCCACCGCGAACCGAGCTATCGATTCTTCGTCACGTTCGCTGTTGAGAAAATTTGAATTTTCTCGAAACGTTTCGCGCGGACAATTTGAACTGCAACACTACACGCAGCGCGATTTCGCACGCCAACACAGCTGATGAATCGCGCGCGATGAAATATATATATTATCGAAGTGAAGACTTGGAAACAGTCACGTGTGTATAGCACAACTGCACAACAGCACAAAATAAAGCAGGTGTGAAATGCTTATCCCATAAATCTCAATTTTCTCTCTCTCTCGAAACGGCCGATCTTTGGCAGCGATAAGACGTCCTCGCGAGCGATGTATGTATGAGTAATATATACAACGCAGCTAATTTTCGCAGCGTATCTAATACGCATATTTATTTTGAAGCTCGGCATAGAAATATATTCTGCTTAGCTGCTGCTGTGCAATTTTGTATATAATGCAAAGCTAATATCACGCTTTCGATTATTGAGACGTCAATTGGAGTATGTAAGGTGCCACATGGACAAAACATGTACGGAACACACAAGTCTAAACAATGTTTCGAACAAATAAGCGGCGGTGCGCGGGAGAGTCGCGGGACTTGCGCTCGTCCGTCGCACATTAATATTTGTTTTCAGGGATCGTCTCGCGCTCGGCGCTACAAATATCCTATACACATTATACGTGTATAGTTGAGGTTGTTGCGCTATCCTATACACACTGCAGCGAAGCTTTGTATATATGTAATACGTTCACGTGCGCTCGCTGGCTGGCTCGCGGTATTTTTTTGTACACCCAAGCAGTAAAGCCTTTGATATATGGCTGAGTCCTTTTTAGAGTTTTGTCAGCCACGCCTACAATCAGCCTTAACATTATTTACACTCTTGCGTGCAAGACTCTCTTGCTTGCGTTGTCTGACCGTTTGTCTCCTCCTTTCGGACTCCTTCAATTTCGACTCACGTTTTTTCTCTCTCTTACTCTTACTCTTCTGGCTCCCAAAGAGCTTTTGTCTTTACTTGGTCGCGCGGTCTCTCTGTCTTCGATAGTGGAAATACGCGCATATACACACACACAAACCGAATGGCATTTTTGACTTATGTGACTCACGCACTGATAGCTATAAGGTACGTGCGATGGAGGAGCCCGGGCTCGTATTCGATTAGCCGAACGCTACTGCGCGGCCTGTCGTATCGAGAAATTTCGTACAATTTACTGGGTAATATTCGACCGAGAGAATCACATGTAGGCGCCTTTTGGATTTGGAAATACTAGAAACTCGCAAAGCATCGATGCAATGCCATGACGTGTATAATAATAATGACTGAACAAACAATGCGTCCGAGCCGCAGCGCGGATCGTTTTATAGTTTTTCCCCCCTTCTAGGCGCTGCTGCTCCTCTTCTCTATCCCGGTGCTGTGTGTGTCTGACGCGGAGCTCGCGCGCGCAGTAATCCAAAGCATAAACATAGTATTGTACTTTTGCTTCCACCTCCCCCTTCTCACAAACATACACACAGACAAACCATGTATATTTTTTTATATTAATATCTTTCGACTGGATGAACTCGAGGTATATCTCGCGCGCGCCGGCATATGCGTGTGCATGCGTGTGTACCGGTTTCCTTTATCGCACAATACCCGGAGAATCATTTCTTCTGTCTCTCTCTTTCTTTTTTTTTCTTTTCCTTTTTCTCGCTTTAGATTTCGTAGTTTCGCTGAGTTATTTTTTTTATTTTGGCTCTTATTATATTTTCGTTCGAGCGAATTCGACTGATTCGTTCGCCTTTCATTCATCTCTCTCGATCTTTGGCTCTGCGTGTCTTTCTTTTTCGCTATAGCATCCTCGATATGTATCTTCTTTCATTTTAACGTCAGAGAGCAGCGCGGAGTTTGTATATTTGTCTATAACTATTATTGCATTCGTTTGTTTGATCATGCGTTCATATACATTTTGTCTTTTCTTTGCTTTTTCTTACAATCATCGAACGGTGCCGCGAATAATATGCTTCGATGAAAGTATGTTACCAACATTCACGAAAATAAAAAAAATTCGCGTGTCCTTGCTGCCACATCCTCGATATTCAACCGCGAGCTTGCTGCTTCACCACATAGTTTTGATATATTCACAAAAATGTCCCAGCTCGAGAGCGCGGCTCAATTTAGGTAAAATGAAAAAGGGTAGAGTTTATATCGTAAGCAGCTCGTTTATTCGCCGCAGTACCATATCCACTAATGAGTAGCCGAGCAAGTGAGCAAAAACACGCGGACAATGTGTAGATTTTGCGAGCCACAAATACGGGTTAGTATTGTTCCTGGGCGTGTAAATTCCCAAGCAGCGGCAGTAGCCACCGACGACCACCACATCGCGCATTATGAACTTGAGCTCCAAAAATTTCACCTCCGCTATGTACGTAAACACGCGCGGTGGCAGCGGCAGCTCAGCCTCCTCCTCCTCCTCGTCCACACACGCATGTGGATAGAGAGAGAGCGTGGCGCGAACGAGATAATAATAACTCACCCGTGCACCGTGTTGGGCGCTTGATTTTCGCGTTTTCCGGCAGCAGCGGCCTGCGGATCAGTGAGATATTTCAGGCGTGATATTGTTTACGAAAGCAGAAATCAAGAGCAGCGGCGGCAGCTACACTGCTCATTCGAACTAATTATTCGGACGCTTGGTTCAATTTATATTATCCCACGAGTAAATGTATTTATGAGTGGGTTTTCCGCCGAATGAAATGTATACAAGATTATATTTCGAATATATATAAGCCGCGCGCGCCGCGATTCGTGCCAGTTCATAATATTATATAAGCGTACGCATACGCATCAACTCGTGTTCGTTCGGTAGGCGAACGTTTTCATTTTTGCTTCACTTTTTTCCATAATAATAATATAAATAAATGTTATTATTTTAATGAGTTTTTCACACACTCCGCCAGTGAAAATTAATTATTGAAAATTTTGACATCAAATCGCCAACCGTTAGATCGAAAAACGAGTATGTACGAAAAATAAGGATCAAGCTCGAGAGTAACAACGCAATTTGAAGGTGCATGCGGCGTATGTCTTTTGTAAATATATTTGTTGGATGAAGGAAGAACACGAGAGAGAGATATGCCGCTGCATGACTAATTGACAAAGAGAGATGAAAGCGAAACTCCTTCCTTGTACGCCCCTTTTTCTTTTCTTTCCTTCTTCTTCTCGAGTCATTGTGGATATCCTTTTATAAATTAATATATATGAAGCGGAAAAATATTACCGCCACGATGGAAAATGTCTCTTTCTTTTTTCTAGTCGTCGTCGTCGTCGTCGACGTCGTAGTCTTCGTTTATGTAAATCCCACGTCGAAGATGTGTCGTTGACCCCCACGCTCGGCAACGACTCGATGCAGGCACAATCTTTAAAATCTCTTTGTTTTCTCTATAATAGACGGACTAGTCGTCGCCGTGGTTCTCATATGTTCATTCATAATTTAATTTCCAATTAAGCTTTTATTATTACGGTTCCCGATGCGGTTTCAATGAAAAATTTTTTCTCCTCGCACAAGGTTTGGTTGCGCGTGATTAGAGAAACTAATGAGTAGCGCGCGCGCGCGCGCGTGTTTTCATTCTTCGGCAAATTACAATCATCCGCAACAGATGTAAAACATTTCCCGAAGAAGAAACGACGATGCAAAGTTGAATCAAGAAAATTTAATGAACCCACTGATGAGATTAATTAAGGAAAAGAATGTACGAAAAGACGAAAGTAATTGAGCCATGCATAGTCGAAGGAAATAATGATTCTCAAAGTTGAGCTCGTAGGCCCGCAGCCAAATGCGAGCTTTTATATTACATCAGTCTAGCTTTTATTCAGTCCAAGTGACAATCAAAGTCGACGTCGATACGTTCGATTTGCCACCTACACTCGAATGCACATCATCCCAACGCACGATTATCATCGCAATATTTGTCGTCGTTAACACTCGGTCGATTATATACATACTGCGCATCGCTTTATATACGCGTATTGCTTCTCTATATATTCTCGCTTACGCTGCTGCTTTGTTTTCGCGCGCTCTGGGTTAATTAGATCGATGCATACAGGATGTATACGTATGTATGTATTCGAATATTTATCGTTGATTGCCTACGCGCGAGCGTCTATCGGGTGCGACGCATCTCTCTGCAGAGCTTTTTTGCTGCTCATACCTTTTGTGTGCGCGCCAACAGGCGGTTTTTATTGTTTTGATGATGAAATATACGCGTATAGAGGTATTCGGAAAGAGAAAAAAAAGCGTCGCAACAACCCTCTGTACAACAAACCAAAAACAATGTAGATGCGCGATGATGATTTGGCCGAAAAAGGATAGATATTGCTCTACGATTGTCTTTTGCAGTGGCTGAGTCATGAAATTTATCCGTCCCCGTGCAGCCATAAAAATGACGCCGCAGTGGCGGCAGTTGGCCTCGGCAACGAGATTTTTCGATTACATGCTTCGACTGTGCGTTTGTGAAGCGAACGAATCGCGCTCCAAACGCAATTAGCTGAATTTTTTCAAGAAAAACAAATGGAAACGATCGTTTTACCCAATTTTTGGTAAATATAAGTCAGCTCGCGCGGATAAGATGCAATCTCTCTCGATCGCCGCGTTAAATACCGCAGCAGCTCTACAACATAATAAAGCAATAACTCGGCTAGCGCAGTGAAACAATACGTTTGTAAATTGAGTACACACCGATGCGCGGCTGGCTATACTGCGGACAAAGTAGTTATACTGCGAGCAAAATCTGGAACAATGGGGACCACGCGCGCAGAGATGAATATCGACGATTGGACAACGGATCAGGTGTGGAGTACACGTGAACTCTATAATATATAGAGAGAGTGTATCGATGTCTTTATGGCTGGAAAATTGAAACTGAACGAGAAAAGTACCATGAAATTCTCTATTTTTTTGCTCACATTTTCCACCCCCTCGATTAGCTTCAATATTCGTAGGTGAACCAATTAAATATTACGAACGAACTTGATTCTATTTTTTCAACAACTAACAAGGGTATTCTTGGTCATTGGAGTAACATAGGTAAGCAGGCCTCGTACATAAGCACACACGTGTTCCGCATCGGATTTGAGTTAGTACACAGGCACAGAGTCGGCGTGCCTCGACAACCGTAAAACAATTATACAATTACCGGCAAGCCGTGTAATTAATCGAAACACGAGCTCGTGCTGCTGCTCGGGCAGGCGGTGCACATTTCGCATTTCGATGGTTCGACCCCCCCCTCGTCGTAGTCGTCGTCGTCGTTTCTGCTGCATTTATACTATTCCGCGCGTAATACACACTTACTCGCGGCGGCGGCATGCGGCAATAATTACGCGTACGCAGCTCTGCGCGTTCATACTCATTTGCTCTCTCTCGAGCCAAATGTGTATTAATTTCAATCAACTGCTGCAGTGGTGTGCACACTGCGCCGAGGGAAACCAAGGCAGGCGCGAGAGCAAGTATTTGTCCATGAAATATACCTCTCTCTCTATAAACGAGCGCAGCAGCGATTGCCTTTTTGGCCGCTTCCCGTGCGACCAATCGTCTCGCTTAGCCGAGCAAAGAGCGCAGTTTCTCGATTTCCGATGATGATCGAATCGACGATACGCAGATTGAATCACTGCTGCAGCTGTGCACTTTATCGTTTCATATTAAATATTGTTTTGGCGGCGGAGGCATCGAGCTCTGCAAATATTAGCGCAGAAATTGATAAATACGCGCTTCAACCGATGATGAAAGCAAATGGGAGGAAAAACGAGCGTCATCGAGTTGTACAAGAGAGAGAGAGAGAGAGAGAGAGAGTCCATTTCAATCATCGGTTCGGATTGCCAATATATTAATCACACAAACACGCGCAACGAGCTGTGTGCGGGCGTAAAATCTAAAAAATTTATCGCGCGGTATAGTCCGACGATGATGCGGCAGTGGTGGTGCGCGGCCAACTGCATTCGAGGCAATTAATCGGCTTGTGCGTAGTACTGCTGCACTACTGTATATAGTACTACTATACCGGCACGCGCCGCGCACCACACTCGGCATTTCGTGTTGACCATGTCGATTCTCGTAGGAATTCCGCAAAGCCGCAATTAATTTGCCTCTAACACAGAGAGAGAGCGAGCGAGGAGAGCTACGCAAGTCAGCGAGTGCATTTGATTCCTCTCTGATTAATTGAGTACAGTATATACGCTATGCTTTAAGTGCGTATGTGTATGCGTGTGTATGCTGCTTATCAAGGGTGAGGAAGGGACACACGAGCTGTTTGACCTCTCTACTAGCTGCTATATACTGTTGCTGCTTGCCCCATCATCGCAGTCCAGTCAGTCCTATATATTGTAATATACGATATGCATTATATGTACGATCCGGGTATACTGTGACTGTAACGCGGTTATACGATAAAGGCAGGTGTGTGTCTGCATTCAACTTGAGATCTTACTTATTGTATGATATACAAGCTCTGTGTGTGTAGATCCTTGATGATTTGTGGACACGCGAGCTGCTTTTGACGAACCCGACCAATAAAGCCAATTAACGATACTTTACAACGTAATTATTTACTACTATACTGTATACATAGAGGTAGGCAAATAAATATTAGTCGTACTCACCGAGATGGCCGTTCTCGTAGTAGTCGCCGTTGTCGAGGCGGTGCTTCTTGAGCTGGTGCGCGTGGGCCCCGGCGCTGGCCGCCATGTGACTGGCCGCTAGACTGAGACTCACCGAGGCGCGCTTCGGCGGCCGACCCGGTCTGGAGCTGCACAGTGGTAGAGAGTTACTGGTTTTAGAGACACCATCGTCGAGGCTCGCGTTACGGCGTGGCCCCGACGGCTCGTCGCTATTTAATTCATTCTGGCCAATTACAAGACGACGTCCGAATTTCTGCCTGCGATATGTTATCATTACGTTTTTATATTGTAAAAAGAGGTAACACCTTGCGTTTCTTTAAACGTTACGTTTTTTTTCAATAAAACATATATAAGCAGAAATTTTGACTGTCTATTTTTACGTCTATGTGCATGTGGTAGGCAAATTTTTCGACTCGTTTCGCGAGCGAGGAAAAATCATGACATTGAAATTTGTATTATCGAGTTACGAGTCGATAAAAGTCTGCATACCATCTGTCTTTATATGGAACATAAAAGTCTTATTACATGATATAATAAAAATTGTTATTCTTGAAATAGAGATCTTTTCCCTGGGGATCAAGGTACACAAATTCGCTCGTTTAATTCGAACGAAGATTATAGAACGCTAAATGCATAAAAAAGAGTTCGCTATTGTCTTTTTGTCGAACGCGAATTATAAAAAGCAGGCCACGAGTGTGTGGCACTTTTGTTTTTGTGTGTACGCTAAAAAAGTCGGACACCTTGGACGATCATCTCGTAAGCTGCTTAGTTTCGAGTTTCCGCCGAAAAAAAGCAATGTGTCAGCTCTCCGCCGCGCGACTCGACTCGAGTCGAGAGAGCAAAGAGCACAGCGCATCATCATCTGCTGCTGCTACAAACGAGAGCGATGTGCAGTAATGCTCTCGCACAGACTGCATTATTATTATTCATATGTGTGCGAGCACACCACCACCACCACCACTGCGCCATAATGCGCACTTGTTTGCCTTCGATATTTATTGCCAACGCGGCAGCATATGCGCGAGATCGTGCCAGCAATCGAAAATATTTCCGAAGCCAACGAATGGATGATTTTTAAGTACTAGTCGCTCTGCACTGCGGCAATAATAATTGCGGGACGACTCGCGAGAGAGCTTCTCGCTCGCTGCCTCATACGTGTGTCTGTGTGTGTATGTGTGTGCCTTATATATTATTTATTGCTCGTAAATTCCCTTGACGTGCGCAGATATTATTCTCGGGCTCTCTCCCCGACTACGAGTGTGATGAGCTTATATGCACGTATGTAACTATGTATACAACCACCGGTACATATGTGTGAATGTTATTTGTTATTTTTTTTTTTCGTTGTTGCTACAAAAGTTCCGAGAGAGACTTAGAGCACGAGTCCAAAGTATACGGACTTGAAAGAGATAACGGGTGATTTAACGAAGACGATGTGTGTAATTGCGAGAATTGACGAGTGCGGGCTTCTCTCGAGAACTCGTTTTTCGTCCTAAAAAATAATCCCATTTAAAATTGTTAATTTTTGTAACAGTGGAAAATATTAAAGAAAAAACACGAATCGAGAAACAGCGATAAACATAAAAAGCAGCTATTTAACCTGTTATATTTAACCTGCCATTACGTGCATTATTATAGGCTCTCTGGCATTCGATTAAGCGCGGAGAATCGGCCTTGTATAGGCAGCAGCAAATGGTCAGATTGTAGCAAATGAATTAATACTATCGCGCGCGCGGTGTTGTTGCATCCCCCGATTCCGAAGTTGTAACAGCAGCTGCGTCTGCCGTTTACTCTATTTATGTGCACTCGAGCACAGCTGGAGTGTATACTAATTTACATTATAATTTTTTTTTTCACAAGAACCTGATTAATAATCAACAAATTTAGCGCGAGATAAATAAACGTTGCCTCATCTAGGTCGTATTTTTCTCGGCTACGATGAAATTATGTGCAGGATTTTTGCCCCTCGAATTGATTCATTATTCCAACATTGAATATTTCAAAGAGTCATATTATCGTGTGGACCTGTGTAATTTCTACTACTAGTGAAAATGGACGTACAACTGAACCTATGTGATTTCCCTTATACAATTTCTTTTGCTTTGCCATTTGCAGATTTTCACACAAAGGTACTCGCCATCTAGCGGTGGAGATTGGCTTTAATTAGGATTGAATTTTCATGAATTTTTTGAGAAAGTAACCAAAAACTAAATCAGTATTAAAACATCAAAAAGCAAAATATTTCGGATAATAACTGCAATCGATTAAACTTTCTAGATTGATTAAATTCAAGATTAGAATCGAGTATTAAAATGATTGCGTTTGAGCTTTATTACAGTGAAAACAGGGACGAGCTGTACGTATTAGTCGTTTTTTAATGCACGACTGCATCATAAACAATTTAATCATTTGCCAATTACAGCTATGAAACACTTAATTGAACTTTTCCTCCTACGTGTATACATGTGCATATAGTAATTATTAAGATGCACACGTTGAAACGCATCTAATCAATGGAATCACGTATTATAGATGCTTACGCACATACGCAACTTTGCTCGAATAATTGAATATACAGAAGTAGACTGGCAATGCTATTTAATACAATTACACAGTCATAAGCAGACCTGAGGCCTAGCTTTCTATGAAAGAGGTAGCGCTATGCGTACGTTAATAAGGACAATACGGCAGTTGAGCTAAAATTAAAATCGACGTTATGAAAGCAGGTATTATCTAAATTTGAATTAGTGAGCTAAATTTGAAAGTATATTAATGAGGTACAGTTTGATTGATGGTTTTCGCAGTTTATCACTATAATATTTAAAAAGAACTTTAAATTGAATTCAGAGTTAATACAAAATCAGCCATCAAAATTAAAGTAAACAATATCGAATTTCATTCAAGGTAATTTTATATGTAATTTTCGTTGAAAATTAATTTGAGTGAGGATTATTTTTTCTACAAAAAAAAAGAAAATCGAAGTATAGAATTGAATCTTTGTTGTTCATTTTTGTATTAAAATCAACCCTCATGATCGCTTTTTGAGTTATACTATGATTAAAATCGCTCAAAAAATGTGCGGAGATTCAATGATAACTAAAGCCAGTCTTTACCACTAGATGGCGATTGTCTCTATCTGTTAATCTGCAAGTATTAAAGTAAATATAATGGTATAAGTAAAGACACAGTTTAGAAACTTATTAAGAGGTACTTCGCTAGTGAGTTACCCGAAAACTTCAATGATTTCACATGAAATTATATTTATCACGCGTAGAAGACCTCCTCATTTTTTACATTAATGTTAATTTAAATATTTTCAAAAGTGTACATTTAAACTGAATGTTCGAACGCAATGAGAATAAAAAATTCATGAAATATCAATGATAAATAAAACCAATCTTAACCACTAGATGGCGATTGTCTCTATCTGTTAATCTGCAAGTGACAAAGTAAATGTACTTGTATAAATACTTAAGGGGACACATACACCTTAGATTCAAAAAATCTCTTGTTACATTATTGAGTAGGATTTTCGCCTCTTTCCATTGCATTTTTCGAAATTCCAAAATTTTGATTTTGCCCTGAGATACAACTATTTTCGCGAACCCTTTTCCTATACTTTACGTGTTAAATTTTTTCTTCTCTTGCGTTTTCTGGAAACTCGTGTTTTTGGTCATTTGCCGTAATATTCAGAGGGTACCTGGTGCTTTTGCACCAGGGTCGCGTATACTTCTTCAGAACATGAATGCTCACGGCCACTACTATGAGTGAGACGATTGAGCTCATAGATCACAATGAAAAAAAAAGTGAGTTTAACTGTTCATACAGAGCAATCTGGCCGTTCGATCGTCTCATCCGAGGTAGTGACCGTAACCATTGATGTTCTAAAGAAGTGTACGCGACCCTGGTGCTGAAGCTCAATCGGTACCCTCTGAAAGTTACGATAGATGACCAAAAACACTACTCGCCAGTATAGGAAAAGGGTTCATGGAAACAGCTGTATCTCAGGGCAAAATCAAAATTTTGGAATTTCAAAAAATGCAATGGAAAGGGACAGAAAAATCCTATTCAAAAATTGAATAAAAATTTTTTCGAGTTTAAGGTGTATGTGTCCCCTTAATGTAAATATTTTCTGCACTTTCAAAGCTCACCATTTGAATGCGATGAGCACAAGAAATTTCAAATTTCATCGCGATGTCCGTGTACTTTAATATGCCTCGCTTGATTCAACCTGTAAATCCAGCTGATGATCTACGCGCGAAAAATCGCATTCGCCCAACTATGTACGTGAACCCGACACCGACGCGCGCGGTGATGTTAAAATAAAGTTCAACGGCCATCGAACTAGAATCATGAAATTACGCAATTTCCAAGTCAATATGGCCAGCAGCAGCGGCATTTCGCACCGAAGCCACACTCGCCGTTCGGTTAATTTCAAGGTGGATTGGTGTCTCGATACGAGAGCCGTGCGCGCCCGCGCTATATTATTAATAGCTGAAAGTTGCCGCTGCTGCATGGCGCGCGAATACGGGGGTTGTGTTTCCATGCAGTTCTCTCTCTCTCGCTCTCTGTAGTCGGTGGAGAGGGAGGGTAGGTGGGTGGGGGGGATAAAATCATCAGCCCTGAACGAGGATCATGCCTGCATATGCGTGCGCTGCTATATAGCTCGAGGGGGATGCATGTATATATGGAAAGGCAGTTGCAGTATGTAGCCGATTGCGCTACTTTGATACACTCGAAAACGTCATTCGGCGTGCTCGAAACGATAAGCTAACGGGATTGCGCCTATATATACGTGTGTATACGATTGATGCACACATATGCAATAGGTATATCTCCCAGAGTGAGAGAGTGAGGGCGAGGATGTGTTATGCCAACTATATAAACTCTCACTCGCACTCGACGTATACGATGCATCATTATGATTATACAAGGGCGAAAGGGTTGCAGCGGGCGTTTATCGCTCACTTGAATACGTGTTGATATGGATTTGATTGCGCTTTGCCTGGAAAGTTATAACGCATTACGGACGTTTCGGGAGATCGAGTCGACTCTCCGCGCGCACACGCAGTTCGAGTGGGTGCAGTCGAGCAAAGAGACAACTCTGGTGTGGCCAGTAATCGCACAC